CGTAAAGATTACAGCCTTGGAAACCCCGTGGGGTACTTCTACTTTGTCTTATAGGGTCGGTATGAGTTGGAATCGACTGAGAAGCAATGGGTTTTGGTAACTTCAGCAGGGCAGGTGGGTTTAGTTCCACCATGTGCCCGTAGGAGAACCAGAAACATTTGTAAGCTGTCCTGGTGACTCACACCAGGTGTCACCTTTGCAAACTGTTTGAAAATGGGACAGGTTGCTCAAGTGATGTTCTCAGTGCATCTGCTGTGCACGGGAGGGGACTAGGAAGGAAAAAGGGGGATTGAAGGATTAGATGGTTTTTGTGGTTAACTTCTCATTACCTTCTGCCTGGTGGCTTCCTACCCACTGAAGGCAAGGCATTTTAGGAAGTTCCGAGGGTTGAATTTCTAAACCTTCCATCTTCCCTCTAAGACAGTATCATGAAGGACCAGCCTGAGGCAACTACTGACCTGGCTGAAGGCTTATGTAGAGGACTCTGAGCAGCAGTAACTTCTAAAGCAGTGACTTTGTTTTAATGTCTGCTTTCTAGAATAAGAATGTATATTGATAAAGAGGACATGGTCAATAAGAAGCAGTTAAATTGAACAAAACAATCAATGAATAAGCAGTTCAAAGTACTGTACTAGGGAAAAAGACATGGTATTCTCTAGCACTGAACTAGGAGTTGGGCTCAGATGAACTTGGTGCTTTTACCTAAATCCTCTCCTAATTCCACAAATCTGACGTATTGACACAGTCAATTGGCTTCAGAATGATGGCTTACGTTTAGGATTTAGAAGTTCCTAGAAACCCAGAAAAGGCAGAATCACAGAAAAATGTCACATCTGTTGAATTTCTTTTAACGGCCATCAACATCTTAGCCTGGGCTCCCTGAATCACAAAGCAAGAACCAAAGGCTCACATGCTAATACTTTCTTGTTGTTGGGTGCTGTTGAGTCAATGTCAACTCATAGTGACCCCCCATTTGACAAAGTAGAACTGCCCCATTGGGTTTTGTAGGCTGTGATCTTTACAGGAGCAGATCGCCAGGTCTTTCTCCTACAGAGCCACTGCGTGGGTTTGAAGTGCCATCCTTTCTGTTAGCAGCCGAGCATTAAACCTTTGCACCACCAGGGCTCTTTAATACTTTAGTAGAGAGTGCAATCCCAGGGAAGCAGCAATAAAGGAGAAGAGATGTGTGGCAGGGAAGCGGGGAGAGCCAGTGTAATGGGGGATGTTACTGAGCTGGCCACAGCTGGATGAAAAGCTGATAGGATGGTGCCACAGAGCGTCTTCGAAGAGGCCGTATGAAGCCACTACATCATCGAACAGTTCACCCAGGAATAGAAAAGGAGAAGAGTTTATCCATTGGCTGCCATCTCCCATTGGCCAAAACATACCCCGCCAGGGTCTTAGGTCCCTGGTACTGCAAGGTTACACATTCATGAGCACCAGGTGGTGTCGCAGTGCGTGCTTCATGCCTCAACGGCAACGAGGAAACAAGGCGATCTTCACGTGACATCTGTCTCCCCCGCGCCCCGTTTGTGCTAGATCCTGTCTAATCTGCTCTAACTCAGAAGTGATTAGATTTAAGACATGCCCTACACTGATATGGCCTCATTAACATAACAAATAGAACCCTATTCCCAAATGGGATCATATCCATAGGTATAGGGGTTAGGATTCCAGCACATATTTTGGGGGACACAATTCAATCCATACCAGGCACCTCTCACCAGAGCCCCAAGGTGCAATTTCCATTGTCTCTCAATTTTGTATGTATATTTTAGGTTGATCTTGGAATCTTTTAAGGTGTTTTGTTTATTTTGAGTTTTTTTTCTCTTTTAATTTAATTTTATTCTTTGTGAAAGTATACACAGCAAAGGCTACACCATTTCAACAAATTCTGCATGTACAATTCTGTGACGTTCTTCAAGTCGTGTAACCCTTCTCGCTATCCTTTTCCAAATTATTCCACCATCATTAACGTAAAGTCACCGCCCCTTAAGCTTCTCATCTAACCTCTCAGGATGCCTCTGTCAGTTTGATCCCACATAGATAAATCGTTGAGACAGCACAATGCTTAAGGCAAACATTCTTTACTAATTAGGCTAAACTGTTGTTTGATTCAAAGCTGACTTCTTGGAATAGTTTTGGTTTGAGATTTAAGGTTTAAAGATTATCTCAGGGCAAGAGTTTGGAGTGTTCACCTTGCCTCAGTCGTTCCAGAAGTTGTGGATTCCACTGAGAATTTGTAATTCTGTTCCATGCCCCCCCGTTTTGATCAGAATTCTGCAGAATCTTAGATCAAAATGTTCAGCAATGGTAGCCGGGTCTAAGGTGTTTTAATTGAAGAAGGCTCTGGAAAGGTTTTTCTGAATGTGGCGCATCTTTTCTTTTGGGTCACTTACTTAACCATGTCTGCTTCCTAAACAGCGGCCACGTGTGTTCTGGCCCCCGTGATTTATTCCCGGGAGCAGGTTACAAGATGTGAACATTGGTATTTCTAAAAGTATAGACAGCCTAACAGCCAACCAATTCCAGAGACAAGGTGACATTTTAAATTGGTAATGCTCCTAATTACCCAAGCCCTAGGAATCCGGATGGAATACAGCCACAGCTCCAGAATTAATGTAAGTGAGCCCTGTGAACCGATTCCTAACAGCACGCTCTTAGAATAAATAATGCACGGTATCTGTGTATTGCACGTGGTTAAAACCACACACGCACAACCTCTTGATATTTCCTATTATATGAAAAATTCTTGCTATCCAAGTTTAAAAAAAAAGAAAACTTTTCTAAATTTTCCAACAAAAAACAATACTTTGTTTCCTTTTCAAATGTTGCCAAGTGGTAGTTCTGTATTGAAATGTCAGAATTATAGAGGATGATGTGCAGAAACAATGTATGGTAACATGGAGCATGATCTTGGAAGGCAAACGTGTCCAGATTCACCCCTTAGCCCCCCTCACTTACTGCTAGGTGATCTGGGCCTGGTGGTTTAATCTCTCTGATTTTCAGCTTTCTCATCTATAAAATGAGTGTAATAATGCTGTTTACTCACAGGGCTATTGGGAAAAATTTAAAAGCAAAGTAAAATGCCTAGCTCAAAGCTAGTGCTTAAAAAAAAAGCTCTTTCATTTATTTAGGTATTATTTAATTTCTTTCAGCAATGATTTATACCTTTCTGTGTAAAAATTTCTCACTTCTTTGGATAAATTTATTCTTAGGTATTTTATTCTTTTAGATGCTATTGTAATGAAATTGTTTCTTCAGTTTTCTTTCCAGAATGCTCATTTCTGATGTATAGAAACCCAACAGATTTTTCTGTGTTGACCTTTTATTCTGCCACTTCGCTGCATTTGTTTATCAGCTCTAGTAGCTTTCTTGTGAATTCTTTGGGGTTTTCTATATATAGGATCACGCCAACAGCAAAAAGGGATGGTTTTACTTCTTCCTTCCCAATTTAGATACTTTTATTTCTTTTTCTTGCCTAGTTTATCTGGCTGAGAGACTTCGAGGACATCCTTGTCTTGTTCCTGATCTTTAGGGGAAAGCTCTCCGTCTTTCTTCTCTGAGTGTGATGTTAGCTATGTGTTCTTCATAAATGCCTTTTATCATATTGAGGAATTTCTCTTCTATTTCTAGCTTGTTGAGTGTTTTCATCATGAAAGGATGTACATGTGAAAAATGTTGAAATGGCGATCTGTTTGTTATATATATGTATGCATGTATATACTCACCACAAGAAAAAATACTTTTTTAAAACACTGGATGATGGCATACTATATACTATTCTGTATATTGGTTTTATTAGTTTTCCCTAAAAGTGCATTAAAGCCCTTTCTATATTAAAAAAATGCTAAGAGAAGTCACCAATGAGGCACAAAGGACAGTAACCTGAAATCTCAGTGATCAGACCTGAGATTCAGGCCTCGGTTTCAGCAGTGTTTGCAGAGAGGGACCCAATACATATTACCCTCCTCGAGCCTGTCAGAGGTCCGTGGGCGGCACCGATGGTTGGCCCTCAACTTCTAACCAAAAGGTTGGCAGTTCGATCCCGCCCAGCAGCACCTTGGGAAAAAGGCCTGGTGATCTGCTTCTGTAAAGGTTACGGCCAAGAAAACCCTATAGAGCAGTTCTGCTCTAACACATGGGGTCACCGTGAGTTGGAATCGACTCCATGGCTTAGTGTCTCAGCACCTGGGTCCCGAGTGTTGGCCTTTTGTGCCAGTACATGACATTTCGATTTAATTTCCAAGTCTGAACACAGAGAGTGGAAGAAAGCTCCTGTAAATTCCATCAGTCCTCTGCCTTACTGCTTTGCACCCTCCAGCTAAACCTCCCCAGCTTCATGGAGGGGACCTATAAAAAAGCATATACCTCACTTTTGGATTTTTTAAGACTTTATTTCCAGTTACTTCTGAACATATACATATCATTCCAAAAAGTATCTACCATGTTCATGTTGATAGATTTGGTGGAGCAAATTCATTAATGACGCTCTAATTATCTTGGAACTAAACATCCGAAAAGCAATCCAAGTTACAAAACCAAGAAACCTGTTACCGTCAAGTCCATTCCGACTCATAGCGACCCTATAGGACAGAGTAGAACTGCCCCATAGGGTTTCCAAGGAGTGGCTGGTGGTTTCAAACTGCTGACCTTTTGGTTAGCAGCCAAACACTTAACCACTGTGCCACCAGGGCTCCAAGTTACAAAGAAACTATAATAATAACAGCAGTGACTTGAGGAATACCAATTATATGCCAGGTGATTTGCATAAATCTTGTATCATTTAATCCCTACCGTAGATGTAAAAAAGTAGGCATTACTAACCCCGTTTAACATATGAGAAGAACGAGTCTTTCCGAGCTTCGTAACTTTGCCAAGATCACATTGCTAGTAAATACCAAAGTTGATGTTTCCATTCTGACTTAAGTGCCCAGAGCTGGCATTGTGCCAGTCTGTTTGTGTTTTCACCCCATCTTAGTCTTCCCCTTTCCTTCCAGGTGGTCCTAGATGTTGGTTGTGGATCAGGAATGCTGTCATTTTTTGCTGTACAGGCCAGAGCTAGGAGAGTTTATGCACTTGAAGCCAGCTCAGCAGCACCATATGCTGAGGTGAGTGGTTGGATTTTAAGGTAGCTACTAATTACGTCTTCAGTATGCTTCCGAGGTACCAAGTGATGTAGGTCATTTTGAAGAATTTTTTTTTTTAACCAGTCTCTGATTTTTTTCTTTTGGAATGTTGCTGCTGAAAGATTCCATCCTCACTGCAGTGTTAACAAGAAAACAAGTATAAAAAATTTCACTGGTGCTAGAAGTATAGCAAAGCCTTCTCCCTCCCAATCCACTGGGCAGCAGGTGGAACTGGGGAGCAGGGAGTGAATGTTTTCTTGTCTTGAATGATTTACCAGAGGGAGAAGTCAGATTTCACTGGAGTTGGAATCAACTTGACATTAACAGGTTTGGGTTTTTTTTTTGGTCTTAAGCGCTATACTGACTATATCTGCACTTACCAGTTGCCGTGGGGTCAATTCCGACTCAAGGCAACCCCATGTGTTTCAGAGGAGAACGGTGCTCCATGGAGTTTTCAATGGCTGATTTCTCAGAAGTAGATTGCCAGGCCTTTCTTCCAGGTTCCTTCTGGGTGGCTTCGAACTTCCAGCCTTTCAGTTAGTAGCCAAACACTTAACCATTTGCACCATCGCTTTCAGGTTAAGGGGCTATTGTTACACGGTGACGTCAGAGCAGGAGACAGGTGTCTGGGTTTCCAGGGACCTTTCCAGATTTCAGAGTCTGACGGGAGGGCAGGGGATGCTTTGCTTTACCTATAGTGCTCTGTCATCATGATGAAATGTGTACAAATATTAGAGAACTAGTCAAAGTCAAGGAGCAGGTAACAGTGACTTTCAGTAATATTTAGATATAAGAATACTCCAGTCAAGCTACGGAGCTTGGATGTGTGTGTGTGCATGTGCGTGAATGGGGGAATGTGCCTGTCATTCACACCTGGAGGAGGCCTGGATTTAATTAGGGAGTAGAGTGACAGACAGAGAGGAAAGCTTGACTGCTTCTCTCCATCCCTGGACAGCTGGCAGCTCTGAGTGATGGCTGGTTTGAAGTGAGTGAGCCACCAGGGACCAGATGAGTGTGAGCCTACCAGGCTTGGAGGGAGAGCTCCAGGGCCGAGTGGCTGGTATGTTGCTGCACTCTGGATTTTTTTTCCAACCAAGTCCTGGGGAGAGTATTTGCAGTCATTTGCTTCTTCACCCTTTCTTCAAATCCATTTTTATTAAGTATTGGAGTCGGAAAGTCCCTGGGTAGTGAAACAGTTAATGAGCTGGGTTGCTAACTGAAAGGTTGGAGGTTTGAGCGCATCCAAAGGTGCCTTGGATGAAAGGCCTGGTGATCTCTTTGCGAAACCTCAGCCCTTGCAACCCCAATGGGGCACAGTGCTACTGTGACACACGTGGAGTCTCCATGAGTCGGAGTCAACTAGATGGCAGCAACTGTTGGGTGGTGCAAATGGTTAATGCACTGGGCTGCTAACCAAAATGTTGGAGGTTTGAGTCCACCCAGAGTCACCTCGGAAGAAAGGCCTGGCAATCTACTTCTGCAAAATCAGTTATTGAAAACCCTGTGGAGCACAGTTCTACTCTGACACACATGGGGTTGTCATGAGTCAGAACCAACTCAACAGCAACTCTTTTTTTTTATACACAAAAGATATTTGTAAATGTATATAGTGTAAAAAACCAAAACCAAACCCATTGCCTTTGAGTCGATTCCAACTCATAGCAACCCTATAGGACAGAGTAGAACTGCCCCATAGGGTTTCCAAGGCTGTCATCTTTACAGAAGTAGACTGCCACATCTTTCTCCTGCAGAGCGGCCTGTGGATTCCGACCACTGACCTTTCGGTTAGCAGTCGAGCACTTAACCACTGTGCCATCAGGGCTCCTTATAGTATAAAGAATACCTATTTTAAGAAATATATATAACATTAACCAAACCAAGCCCGTTACCCTCAAGTCGCTTCTGACTCATAGTGACCCTATAGGACAGAGTAGAACAGCCCCATAGGGTTTCCAAGGCTGTAACCTTTACGGAAGCAGACTGCCACATCTTTCCCCGTGGAGCTGCTGGTGGGTTCGAACTGCCGACCTTTTCGTTAGCAGCCGAGCTCTTAACCACTGCGCTGCAAGGGCTCCATATATAGCATTAGCATGCCCATTAAAGGCCTTTTTTGCCTTATCCTGATCACATCTCCTTTCCTCCCTATGCAGAGGGAAAACCATTGCCTTGCATTTTTGCTTATCATCCTCTTGTTGCTCTTTATGGTTTTACCACGTATGTTTCTATCCCTCCAAATAAATTGTACATGAACTTTCTATACGTGGAATCAAAATGCATGCAATTTTCTGTAATTTTCTTTTTATTTTACTCAACATTATGTTCCTGAGCATCATCATTGTTGCTGCACATGGCTGTCATTTATTCATTTTCATGCTGTATCATGTTCCATTGAGGGAGATGCCTCAAGCTGTTATCCCCTGCGGTGACACGGGCTGCAACAATGGGCTCAAACATACCTACTATTGGGAGGATGGCGCAGGACTGGGCAGCGTTCCCTTCTGTTGGACACGGAGCCGCCATGAGGCGGAGATGACTCGATGGCACCGAACAGCAACATATTCCGTTGCACTGTGGACAGATTTAGGGTGGTGTCAGGGACTGAGTTGTGTCCTCCAAAACTATGTATCAATTTGTCTAGGCCATGATTCCCAGCCTTGTGTGACTGTCCCCCATTTTGTCACCTGATGTGATTTTCCTATGTGTTTAGATCCTATCTCTATAATGTTGATGAGATGGGATTAACGACAGTTATGTTAATGAGGTAGAACTCAAATCTACAAGATTGGATTGTGTCTTGAGCCAATCTCTTTTGAGATATAAGAGAGAGAAGCAGCAGAGAGACAGGGGGAACTCATACTGCCAAGTAAGTAGAGCCAAGAGCATGTGTCCTTTGGACCAGGGGTTCCTGCGCCGAGAAGTTCCTAGAGCACAGAAAGATTGATGACAGGGACCTTCCTCCAGAGCAGACAGAGAAAGGCTTCCTCTGCAGCTGATGCCCTGTATTCGGACTTCTTAGCCTCCTAGACTGTGAGAGAATAAACTTCTGTTCATTGAAGCCAACCACTCATGGTGTTTCTGTTATAGCAGCACTAGATGACTAAGTCAGGTGGCTTCCATTATCAAGTGTTGTTATGAAGAATTTTGCACACAGTCCTTGCTGCATTTTTGCAAGAGTTTCTCAGGTGGATACCGAGGTGTGGAACTGTTGGGTCTTTTGGCACGCACACTTTGCTATACAATGCCAAACTACTCTACAAAGCGATTATACCAACTTTTACTACCACCATCAGTGCCCTGGTGGTGCAGTGGTTAAGTGATATGGCTGTTAACCAGAAGGTCAGCTGTTTGAATCCACCAGCTGCTCCTTGGAAACCCTATGGGGCAGTTCTACTCTGTCCTATAGGATCGCGATCAGTCGGAATCGACTCTGATGCCAATGGGTTTGGTTGTTGTTGTTGTTTTTTATCAGTATATGAGAGTACCCATTGTTCTACATCTTTGTCAACACTTGATATTGTCAGGCTTTTGGATTGTTGACAATCTGGTGCTTATAAAATTTAACATCATTATGTTGAAAATTGTATTTTCCAGATACAAATGACTTGAACATCTTTGCAAGCGTTTTGGCCATTTGTGTTTTCTCTTCTTTGAAACATCTGTTCAAGTCTTTTAACATTTTCTTCTTGTGAATTTTTTGTCTTATTTCCAATTGCTTTGTAAGAATGATTTATGTATTCTGGCTATTAATCCCATGTCAGTCATATATGTGGAAAATGCCTTCTTCCAGCTTTTACCTTACCTTTTCTCTTTCTTCATGGCCCCAGTACACTTTAATATGACATTATAAATAACAGAGACAAGGAGAGTATAAACTTATAGAGAACTCCATAGATAAAATGCCTTCTTCTTAGGTCTTAATAGATCTTAAAATGAATTCTTAACTATAAGGAGTTGAGTTTAAAACTCCGTCTCAGGTGCTGCCCATTCATTTATCCATAGTTGTATTTAGTTGTATCCTACGATCCTGGTTGTTGGGCGCCTTGGAAGAAACGTGGTGAAGAATGTCCATTCCTATATACAGAGACCTTCCATTCTAATAAAGGATTGATTCTACTGTGTCTTGTATCCGAGACCAAAAAAAGATTGGCATGAATAATTTAGAGGTTTGCTTTTTCTCACGTGTTTTCTCATATATTTTAAGGTGGTTTGAGACACATTACGTAGATGTTTTTAAAACCTTAAAAATCAAGTGCCCTTGCTTGTGGTATTTTAAGGGATAAAACCAAAACCAAACCAACCCATTGCCATTGAGTTGATTCCAACTCATGGCGACCCCATGTGTTACAGACCCGAACTGCTCCATAGGGTTTTCTTGGCTGTAATCTTTACAGAAGCAGATCGCCAGGCCTTTCTTCTGCAGCTCTGCTGGATGGGTTTGAACTGCCATATGCAAACCATTTGTGCCACCCAGAGCCCTATTTTAAGAGAAGCGAGCAAGAAATTAGCTATACATATTCTTGACTCCCCTAGCCATAATCCTGCCTCCAACGTCAATATAAACTTTTAATAATCACCAGTACAGTTGGGAGGAGCCAGCGTTCTGGAACTATCTCTGTGACTGGCTTCTCTAAAGTAATTCCCATCCTGGTTAAACACATCAGCAAGATTGTTGCCTTCTCACAGGGTGGGGCTACCCTCATGGACATTTTTACCCAGAGTGTGGCTGCTGTATAAATATAAGTTCTCTAGCAATCAGCTCAAGGAGCCCTGGTAGCACAATGGTTAAGCACTCGGCTGCTAACCAAAAGGTCAGCAGTTCAAACCTACCAGTCAGTCTATAGGAGAAAAGACCTGGCCATCTGCTCTCGTAAAGATTATGGCCTAGGAAACCCTATGGGGCAGTTCTACTCTGTCCTGCAGGGTTGCTGTAAGTCAGAATCAATTCGACAGCACACAACAACAGCAGTGGCAATAAGCTGGGG